TTTGATAACACAAACAACATCAACAGCAGCACTTAGCTGACTTCTCATCATTTTCTCTAGTTAGTTTCTTGTACAAGCAATCCTAGTCTTGAGATTAGTCTAGAAATAATTCTGAAGTCCAGCATCTTTTATAAATTTACTGGGTTATGAATTTAGCCCATTCTTCTGTATCTCATACTAAATATGGTTTATTTGAAGACATTTGCTTAAAACAGAAAATTTGATGTTATAATAGTAGTAAATAGTACTCATTTTCTAATTGTCCATCTGTATCTGAGGCAGAGGCTGCTAGCTGTCCATCACAATTCTGTCTTCTCATTCCACTGTGAAGTTTTGTTTTTTGAAATGACTGCCCAGCTAGGAATTACTATTCTCAGACCTCCTTTCATCTACAGAGGATAGTAGAACATGAGTGAAACTAATAGGTGTCACTTCAAGCCTGAAATCATTGTAAATGGGATGAGTCTTCCCCACACTTCATCCTGTTCTCTAGTAGCTGCTCTGGGTGCACTTGGAAACCAAGTTGAAAAAGACAAAAGCCTTATCAGCTAATGGTCTCTGAATACCTCTTGGAGCAGAGTCTGTGCTCCTGTGAAAAGTAGTATCTACTGGGGACTGTTATATGAGTGAGAAATAAACCATACTCTTCTAAGAAACAAGATTTTAGAGTGTTCATTAAGTTACTTCATTATTATACTAATATAGAATCATCCTTCTATGTTTAGAGTATTTCCCAGGTTAAATGACTTACTGGGGAACAGAGACTGTCTTCTAACTCAAAATCTGAAGAGGCCAGCTGTGTGCTTTTCTATATTCTCTGACACCTGGATATGGGTCTGGCACCTGTACTCTGTCTACGAGATTCATCCTGGACCTTGTTGTGGGAGCCATAATGCAAATGAGGGACTGTGGAGAATCCATTCTGTAATAGTGGTCGTTGGGCAGCAGCACTCAGATTTCTGACAATCTTGTGAACTATACAGTACACATTTGTTGAATTAATTATTAAAAAACAGTCCAACTCACTGTCTTGGCTCAGAATTCAGAACCTTGAATAATACTGTAGGAGATGACTGAGACAAGTCTAACATAGTGATGACATAATAACAGTTATTTTTTATTTTTTAAATAATTTTCCTTTATTGATTTTAGAGAGAGAGGAAGGGAGAGTGAGAGAGAGATAGAAACATGGATGAGAGAGAACATCAATTGACTGTCTCCTGTATGCTCCCAACTGGGGACTGAGCCCACAATCTGGGCATGTGCCCTGACCGGGAGTCGAACCAGCAACCTCCTGGTGCATGGGTCCATGCTCAGTCAGTGAGCCACACCAGCCGGGCTTTTAAAAAATATATATTTTTTCTTTATTGATTTTAGAGCAAGAGAAAGGGAGAAGGAGAGAGAGATAACAGCAGTTAGATCCAGGCCATTGGACAAGGGTTAGCTGTTAGAGGTATTTTTAAGTATGTGAAATCCAATTTTTCTTTTCTCTCATGTGAATGAAAATGTGAATTCTATAGAACAAGAAAAATGCATTTGAACTTGTTAATTGGAAATGCAATTAGCTTTCATGTGAAATGGTGTTTCTACCAAGAGAATCAGCACTCAATGCACCATCATAGTCTGCATTATATTATATTAGACTGTTTTCACCAGGAAATTGCTTTATGATTTGCATACTTTCTCAAAAATATTACTGTGGCATATTTTAGTATTCCGACTTAATGTATAAACACCTTTTGAAATCAGCAGTTCAATGACTGACATAGTTCACCTTCAATATCATGTGAAGTAGAATGGTAGTTCAATAGATTTAGTCAAAGGTATACCCATAGCTCATTTTTTGATCAGAGGAAAACATTCTCATAAAATATTATTATCACCCTTAACTTTGGCATTCAGATATGATGTGCCCACATTGTGGGCTGTCATATCTATTCCTTTCTCCTGTCCTCCGAATATTTTATTGGAAAGCAAAAGGGATATCTAAACTGAGAAACATTTCACATTTTGCAGGGATTTTAGAAGTTCTAGATTTCTTCTCTAAATATGTATCTTTTGCCCTGGCCGGTTTGGCTCAGTGGTTAGAGTATTGGCCCGTGGACCAGAGAGACCTGGGTTCGGTTCCTGCTAAGGGCATGTACCTTGGTTGAAGTTTGTCCCTGGCCCCTGTTGGGGTTGTGTGGGTGGCAACCATTCAATGTGTCTCTTTCACATCAATGTTTTTTCTCCCTCTCTCCCTCCCAGTCTATCTGAAGATAAAAATGCAAAAATGTCTTTGGGTGAGGATTAAAACAAACAAACAAACAAACAAACAAACATATCTTTCATTATGAATCATTATGAATCTGATCATTTCAGGGAGTTGCACTGTATGGTTATCAATCCTTTTTTTTACTATTTGATCTTCCATAATTCTGAGCCTATAGAAATATAATGTACCAGTTAAATGCCATAATGAGATTTTACAAGAAATTAATTAGTAAGATCACAGAAGAAAGCACATTGTCTAATTTTTCCAAAATTTGAATATCTTAAATATAATCAAGGGATATATCCTCAAATAGATATCTCAGAAGACTTCTTAAGAGGAGCTTCTTAATGTTTTCAAATATAAACCATTTAAGATTATATTAGCAATTTTCAGCCATTGTGCCATAAGAATTTTTAAAACATGCTACCTGGGTAGTTAGTCAGGGGCAATGACCTCTTTTCCTTTAGATTGTCAAATTAAAAAAAAAATGATCACAGCCAACACAACAATAGCCATCCAGTGTGAATAAATAAAAAATATACCTATTTTTTTTGTCAGATCAGCAAAAAGTATAATATATTTTTGGTATGCTACAGAATTTTAGTAATTATTTTATGTGTACCATGAGATGAAATACTTTGAAAAATCACTGTGCTATATTAAAATTTAATGGTCTGGCTTTTACTGTACATTATAATCACTTTTTCCATCTTTAAAGATAGATACAAATTTTATGGAGCATAGTAATACTGATCACAGTTCATTTCAATGAGCAATTACTGTGAAAACAAAAATCTTAGCTGAATGTGATCTGCAAAGAATTCAGAAATCTAATTGAAATGTGACTGTCATCCATTTTTATTAAATACTTTATCAAATTCATTGGTTAGTTACTTTTCACTCATGGTGGCTGCTATTATATTGGCAATGGTAACTAATCTTACTTCCCTTATCTCAAGCATACATTTCTATCAGTATGAGTCCAGTCAGGAGAGAGAAATCACAACATTTTGAACATGGGAAACAGGAAAAGAACCTTAAAATAAAAGAGCCTTTAAAAGAGCCAAATAAACCAGAAACAGGAAACAAAACTCCTTTCCTCATTCAATGTGTTTCTTTCATCATATGCTGACAAAGCTTAAAATTGTGCTGATTGGTAAAGGAAACATTGCTAAAGTGCCCAGATCCATTCTTATAGAGCAAGGTAAAGGGTGACTATGGAGCTGAGAGGCAATAAACCTATAATCAGCACAACTTTGTACTGAAAGTAGGATATAGTTTATTTAAATATTTAGTTATTACTACTCTATCTTGCGAGTCAAATATTATTCAGGAAGAGTTGAAAGTATCTACCAGAATGTTAGTCTCTGAATTGCAGTGTACCACAGAAAGAAAAAATACCGATATTTTATCTCACTGGCTCTAAGTTTCTACAAATGCAAATTGAAAGAATGAAAGTCAGTTTATCATCTCAGTTGCATTGACTACATAAGTAACTGGCTTAGTTGGAGGAGTGCTATATTTAAACTTACCATTTCACCAAAATAAGATTAGCCATTTAAAATGAATAAATCATTTATAATATAGTCACTAATAAGGAAGAAATTTCACATTCAAGAAGAGGTTCAGTGTTATGTATTTGTTGACATATCCTAATGTTAAGTTCTCCACAATTTTCATGGTTTCTCAATAAATGGCAAAATAGATTGGAGGGCATAAGTCATATGAATTATTATTAGAAATTTTTACAAGGGTAAAATATATAAACACGTTCGAGGATAGAACTTGTTCAGCATCAAATTATCATCCAGTTCATCAGCACTTTTTGTTCTTTATTGGGTTCAATGTGTGTGTGTGTGTGTGTGTGTGTGTGTGTGTGAAGCCCTGTAAAGCATATTAATTGAAGTATAGATTTAATTAGAATAAGTATAAATTATATTTAAAATCAATGCAGTTAGACAAAAACATTTTTTCCCCCTGATTACAGAGAAGATTCTTGAATTCAAATCATTTAAATCAATGTAAGAAAAATAGTGTTTTGTGGAGTTTTCTTTATTATACTTTAACCTTTTAATTATAATTTCAAAGGGACTGGCCATTATCAAATATGTTAATAATAAGGTGAAAAATTATGCTGCTTTTTGATGATAATCTAAGAAAAGTAACAATCTTTTTAAAATTTGTTTTCTTATCTTTATTGTTGAAAGTATTATTGATGACCACCCCCACCCCCCCCTTAACTCCCTCCTTCCCGCTCAACAACAGTGTTTTTATAGAGCAAGATAGTATGGCTTTGAATGAAAATACAAGGATTAAATAATTGAAAGCATAATATCCATGAGTAGCAAATCTCTTTTCTTTTAAGGTAATTTCTCTGTTAGTAGAGAAGAAGAAAAATATATAATTTCTGGACACCTGGTAAAACATATAAGTCAGCACCCAGAAAATCCCAATGTCTACAAATTATTTCTGAAATAATATGAAAAAGAAGGTTGACTTCTGTTGACTTTCTTTTGTGTTGTTATATTGTTTTCCATTTAAAAACAAAAAAATCATGGCATAAAAATTGTATCTCCCATTTTAATATTGTTGTATAAGTGGAATGTATCAAATGTGTTTTTGACTTATTTTAAATACTATTTTCATAGATCATATGTAATATTTTGATGTAATTTCTCAAATTTTTAACGTAACTTAATTTCTCCACCCCCCTCCCCACTGCTCTCTTTCTTTCCCTCTCTTAAAGCTTCTCCATGGGTTGATAACAGCCGAACTCCAAACAAGATTGACCTTTATGATGTACGCAGAAGACCATGGTAAGAATTTTAGTTGTTCATGAAAAGAAGAAACAGACAAAATGAGGTTATATTTCTTTGTGAAAAAGTTGGACGGTATCATTCCATTATTAGGATAACTATTGTCTAATTATTTAAAGGGCTCTAGCCCAGTTGATGTGGTTCAGTGGTTGAGCATCGATCCATGCACCAAGAGGACGCAGGTTTGATTCCTGGTCAGGACAGATGCCCAGGTTGTGGGCCCAATCCCCAGTGGGGGGCATGCAGGTGGCAGGCAATCGATGTTCTCTCTTATCGATGTTTCTATATCTCTCTCCCTCTCCCTCTCTCTCTAATATCAATAAAGAAAAAATTTAATAAAAAAGACTGCCTCTCAAAATAGTATTATTATAAAATAAATAATAATAAAGGGCTCTAATATATATATATATATTTTTTATCCTCACCTGAGGACATTCTTCCTTTTTTTGCACAGATAGAGTGGGAGGGAGAGAGAGGAAGAGAGAGAGAGAGAGAGAAACATCGACGTGAAAGGGACATATCGAGTGGCTGCCACCTGCACGACCAACCAGGGCCGGGGACAAACTGCAACCGAGGTACATGCCCTTAGCGGGAACCGAACCCGCGTCTCTCCGGACCGCAGGCCGATGCTCTAACCGCTGAGCCAAACCGGCCAGGGCAAGGGCTCTAATATTTTTAAAAATTTTAATAAATATATATACAGTTAAAGGTAAATGAAGATGATAAGGTTGCGTGGAATAATAATGAATATTGTTGAAATGCATTATTAAATTCATTTCAAATGGACTACTTTAAGTTTTTCTATTTTTTTAATTAAAAAATATATTTTTATTGATGTATGTATATATATATATACATATATATAAATATATATATATTTTTAGATAGGAAGGGAGACGCAGAGAGTGATAGAAACATTGATGAGAGAGAAATATTCATCAGCTGCCTCCTGCAAGCCCCGCACTAGGGATTGGGCCTGAAACCTGGGCATGTGCCCCGACTGGGAATTAAACCGGGACCTCTCAGTCCACGGGAGGATGCTCCATCCACTGAGCCACACTGGCCAGGCAACTTTAAGTTTTATATTCAATTTCATCTCCAAAACTCTTTTAGCTGGTGGAGATTTCTACTGAAAGACCTTTGGTTTGCTTGGAGTACAGCTGTAACCGAGCATCTAGACTGAGGAGGAGGTAGTTTGTCTCTGGCAGTGAACTAGAGTGAACTGGCCCCGAACTGTAAGAGCTGCCCTGTTCATAGTTACGTTGCTCAGGTTTATTTTTCCACAAAGTATTATTGGTTTCTCACCACTAAAGCAACTCATGCTCTAATATAAAACTCAAAAATTACAAATAACTCATAATTGCACAACTTATGTATTTTGAGGTTTTTAAAAATATATTTAATATGTGGATATAACATTTTTGGAAGGAGTTCACATTATGTACAATAGACTGCTTTGTGACCTACTGTTTTTATATCAATACCTTTTAGTACTTTAGTACCTATTCATAAGAGAGACGCTTAACATCATTTTAAAAGAATGATTATGCAGTAACTTATTTAAGAAATCTATTATTGAATGTTTATATTATTTCTAACTTTTTGCTAGAGTTCAGACAGATTCTAAGACATAATGGTTGATTCAAAGTAAATGTATTTAAAGCTTATAAGATGCCCATTTAGCATCCCAGTAGCAATTTACATGAACACCAACCATGTATGATAGTGCAAGATATTATTAATCCACATATTATGCTTGTGAATATTTCTCCAAGTGTGGTGGTTGTGAAGCAGTGGGTTGTTGAGTGGAGGTAGAGATGATTACATCACATGGTTTGGGTCCAGGAAATAGATGATTTTGGGGAAACTTAGAAGCTATGTGCTAAACAGAAGAGGCAAACAATATTGTCCTCTCATCTTCTTATCAAGAGGCACATCTCCACCATTTGTTTAGATGCTAGACATGAACTAGATTCGCCTTTCATTGTAATGTCCCAGCAACCCTTCCCCTTACCTTCTTAGAGAGACACCAATTTGGGTGCAAGTCATGATCTCTGTTTCATGAACTCATAGTCCTGAGTAGATACTGTGCTGGGTGTTGTCTGTAAACAAATTGACAAGTTATCAGCTAAGCTCCTAAGAAGATAGATGTACAGTCATGGATAAAGAGGCATCAGAGATAAGTGGAAAGTTGAATCCAGGTTCAGCCCTTCCTGTTGCAGAAAGTGGGTCCCTGGGCCCCATCACTCTGTGGCCTGGCCACATGGGCTTTGGGAGCATTCACTTGCAATTGTGTTATCTCTCTGCTATTCCTAAACTATCTGAATAAAACTCTCCTGTAGTCTCTTTAAAATGCAGAAGTTCTAAATCTGTAGGGCTGGGTGGAATTTGGGAATCAACATTTTAAACGGACTCTCCAGGTGATTCTTAGATTCTATAAAGTTTGAGAGCCACCACTGGAAACCCCTGGTAATAACATTGTATGTTTTTCTGCTTTTAGTTTCTTTATTTAGTTTCTTTTGTATTTCTCTTCTGTTGATGTTGCTTTTTTTTTTTTTTTTTGATATGTGCCCCTAGCGGGAACCAAACCCAGGACTCTCTGGCCCGCAGGCCACTGTTGATGTTACTTTTTTATGTTCCTAGACCAATTACCTATTTTTGTGTTTATTTTTTGCATTTAAAAATATGATTAGCCTTATGATTATTATTTGTACTTGTTATTATTTCTTAGAATGAGTTTCAAAATCTATGATCAACAAATCGAAGTTCAGGATAAATTTTTTTTCCCAGAAAAATGTCCTTATAGACTAAGTTCTTTTGCACTTAGTATTAAAAAACATCTCTCTATTTTTTTAAAAATAAATGACTGAAAAACATAATTGAAATATTATGCCCCGACACCTCTACCGTTAGGTTAAATGTAGCTTTTTAACATTGACAATGCAAAATTATCAATGAAAGAGCAGAGCATTGTTGACTGAGATAGAATGGAAGTAGGTCTGTTTGGAAAATACCTTATCTCAGAGATCAGTAAATATCAGGTTAACAAATATCAGTGTTTGATATTTTGCAAGAGAAATAATATTATTTGGTATTTGTTTCAGGTACATCCAAGGAGCTGCATCTCCTAAAGACATGCTAATTCTGGTTGATGTGTGAGTAGTTAAATGTTACATACTTATGTATATGCTGAGAATATCAGGTGGATTCATTTATCACAGTAATGTGTTGGGACTCAGAAATGATTGATAAATTGAGGGAAAAGAGTAAGGTGTAATTATGATTAATTTTATATCCAGATAAAGAAGACATATTAAGATGGTACCAAAACAAACAAAAATTATCTAAATGAAAATGAGAAGAAGCTATGTTGGAATTGAAAATTATGACATGGTATGGTTCTAAAGTCTGAGCTTTTTGAAAAATTATTCTTTTGTTTCTAATTTCAGGCTTTATGTTTAAAATAACATTACAGTACAAAAAAAGAGGCAGAATAATTTAGTCATTAAAGATTCAAGTAACTTTGAGGTTCTTGGTCACACAATAGATAAAGATTAAATACTGGGACTTTTTCAAGGAAAATGCTAATACATATGAAAGAATCCCAGGAATTTTTTATTGGTCATTTTGTGTGTTACAGTGTTTCAAGTTAAGTGTGTTTGTGTGAGTGTGTATGTGTCCTGCTATAGAGATTTTGTTTATGAGAGTAATACCAATGAATAAAAACAAAATATAAAATGCTTTGATTATTTTGCCTGAGAATGTAAAGGTATAGCCTCATATATTTTTTGCCACATTGAAAGAAACAGAATCCAATGTTTCATAGACAACTAAATCCATATCATAGGCTAACATCGACATTTGAAAATTTCTCCATTTGACCTATAGTAAACAGGTTTAAAACCTTATAACCTAACCCGAGAAAAAAAAAAAAAGTGAATTAGACAAATATAACTTAAATGTTATTTAATTCTCATTTTATTTGTTAAAATGCATTTAAAGTATATTGTTTTAGTTAAATTATTATGGAGTTTATATCCATAATAATTTGAGTTTATATCATACACAAATCCTTGATGTTCTCCTTAAGTATAAATGTAAATGGAAATGTAGTATGTTATAATCCTTTTGGATATATAATTTCCAGGAATAATTTTTCATATTAAAATCTTTGGAACTCACATGCATATCTCAAAATTGAAAATATATATAAAGTTAAAATATCATTTAAAGTAATTATTTCAAGTAAATATTTTGAGGGTCTTATCACATATATATTGTCATAATATAGATTCCAGATAGTTAAGATGTGATCCCTGATCTCAGAGATAATTCAAATCTATTAGTGAAACTAAACCATATTCACAAATGACTAAAATAATGTAGAAGGTAATAGACCGAAGATATGACATGGCATTAAAGGAGTCCATAGGTGAGAGATAGCACTTTGATTTAAAGTGTCAGGAAAGACTTCATTAAGAAGCTAAAATTAGAAATGAATTGGCAGGCAAGGGAGGGGAGAGGAAAGAGAGTGGAACTTCCAGTGGAAGAACTGACAGCAGCAAAGTGGTTTAGATAAGAACATCTGGAGGAACCATCTCCAGGAGGTAGTAGCAGGAGACAAAGATTGATTATGAAGGCTCTTGAATGCAGGGTTGTTGAGATTGTTGGCTATGTAGTAGGTGACTATGAGCTATTAATAGTATTGTATTAAGATATGTTTCCAGAATTTTCACCTGTTAGCATAGGGAGAAGAGGCGACTAAGAGCTGGCTGCAGTGGCTGCTGCCCTAGTGCAGGGTCTTCAGGTAATGAACACCTGAGCCAGAGTGGAGAGAGGGTGGAGGGAAGGCCAGTGTCTGGGAACACAGGAAAGTGGAATGAAGGAGGAAGATTGTCTGAAAGGGTAGGAAGGTTGAGAGTAATTTTTCATTTTGGACATTGAGCCTGCAGTTGTTCAACAAGCAGCAGACTGTAAAACTGGGGAAAAGTTGGGAGCTAGAGATAGAGAATTGGGAGTAAATTGTCCAGGAATGAGCCCCACACATCGATGTTGAGGAGCATAGAATATGTAGAGATAAGACAAGTGAAGACTAAACCCCAGAAAATATCTACTTCAGGATACCTAACAAGGCATTTTGTCCACAAAAAAATCTGTCTATTATCATAATTGTTATGCTACTTCATAATTACTGTTTTAATCCAGTCAAACATTGGACACCTTCAGGCAATGACTTTATCTGTTAGCCTACAGATGTTGTAAACCCTCACTTCTAACTTGGTTAATCAAGCTGGTGTTTACTATGTGTTTCCTGAATAAGTGAACATGCTGAGTATCCGTATTTTCTTAAAATTCTCAGTTGACTTTTAATTTTTATCACTGTGTTTAGAAATAATATATATATTTCTGATGCTGGTAGGGAAGAAAGACAAGATTTTTATATTTCTAGTCTATCAAAAATATGACATTGTCTACTGCTGATTTTTAAAGACAAAATTATTTGAATATTGTATAAAGATCTGGAGGCAGTGCCTAAATTGCCTTTACTTAGGGTGTCTGATTTTGATGGAATACATGGTCATTAACATGCAGGGGTCCATTTTTTACAGGAGTGGCAGTGTTAGTGGATTGACGCTTAAATTGATCCGAACATCTGTCTCCGAAATGTTGGAAACGCTCTCAGATGACGATTTTGTGAATGTAGCTTCAGTAAGTATAAGATGACTGCATTTTTGGTTAATTAAATCGCAATTTCTATCTCCTCTGACTTTAAATATTCCATAGTGTTTAATCATAGATAGGCGGGATATTTCTGATCTATTAGAAGACTGTCTCCCTGAGCTGTTCTGTCTGGTTACTAATTCTCCTATATTTCCACACCAAGGTCCTTTTTGAATGTCTAAGGCTTTACCCATGAAGTAACTGAAGTAATGAATTGAAGGAAAAACATTTCACATATTCTCCTTCACTCAGAGAAGCTTAACCAGGTGACATGAACACATGTACTCATTGATACCATTGTAACTCTTAATAAAAGTACTTTTTCAGTTTAATGGGAGAACTGATAGCTATTTGAATGGGCTTCTTCTGAAATTTTATTTCTCCAGAATCATCTTAGACCTCTCTGCTTGTAGAGTGTACTGAGCTCTGAAGCAAGTGAAAGAACAAAATGAGTGTTACCATGTCTCATTTAATTCATAGAATTTCAGTAAAAAATTTTGTGGCTGTTGACTGATGGATATAATTTCACATTTGAAGTGATATATTCCTAGAGATGGAGGTGAGGGAAGAGGAATTTGTGGTGAGGTCATTTGTATTGAACACAGGAGAATGGCTCTGTCTCTGAAACCACTGGGAGGAAGTTCATGCAGGTGGCCAGCCATGGATTTTCTCCCCACATTGAGAGGCCCCTCTGGGGAAAAATGTAGGCAGGGGAATGGAGCACAACCAGAGCTCCAGGTAACTAGATTGATGATATATACTGAGAGGAAGAAAATTATTCCTAAAATATTTTTAGCATGATATCCCTGGCTAAGGGTGATGATAGGAAATAGCATCAATGAAGCAAGACTCCCTGAAAAATGTCCATAGGTGATTGAACTCTCTGGTTAGTAAATTGGAGGTACAGTAGTTCATAGTTTAAATAGTCCTGCTACACAAGGAACCCTGCACACCTCTTTGTGAGACCTCTTTTCATCTGGGCCAGAGGAGTGTCTCCAACATAGTAAGGAAGGACTTGTTCTGTTTTCTCGAGTCGCCACACAGAATATCATAGACTGGATAGCTTAAACTATAGAAATTAACTTTCTCATAGTTCCAGAGGTCAGAAATCCAAGACCAAGGTGCCAGCGGGTCAGTTTCTCCCAAGTTCTCTTTTCTTGGCTTGCGATGGCCACCTTCTTCTCCCTCCTCATATAGTCATGTCTCTGTGCCTGCAGGCCCTTGGTGCCTTGTCCTCTTCTTGTAAGGACTCTGGCCATATTGGGTGATGTCGCTCATCTTACTGCTTTGGTTTAACTTAATCACCTGTTTGAAGACCTTATCTTCAGACACTTTTACCTTCTGTGGTACTGGGGTTGGGACTTCAACATATGAATTTCAGGGGGGCCACAATTCAGCCCATAATACCTAGGCGCCACCCTCCATGTCCAGATCTTTTTCTGTTTCTTCTGAACCTTGAGAAACCTTAGCATGTCTGCATCTTGGCCCTGTGTTACCTCCCTACTTAGTTAACAAAATGCAATGCTTTATCTCTCAAAGAAAATGATCAGAAAAGACAGTCATTTAGCTTCATTTGAACATAAACACATTGTTCATTACAAAGGCTTTGTAATGGTTGCTAACAAAATATGAATTTTGACACAGCAAAAGAGAAAGTTGTAAAAACATTAAATTCCATACAGATTTGGCATCTCTAATGGAATTTATATAAAACAAGCAGATATTAATATGGTTAACCAGGCTTCTTTCTGTGAGCAGAACAGACTCTGGCCATAAGTGGGAGAACTGAAATGAAAGTTGCAGGTGCTGGGAGATAGAAACCTTGCCAATGTCCACTGTATTCAGTCTCTGATCCTTAATGATGGCAACTACCAAAAAAAAAAAAAACAATGGCAACTGGTCACAACTAAAAAACAAACAAACATAGTGCAATGGAAAGGTTGAATGCTAGAGTTAGAACCAAGCCCATAACTTATATTCATCTTTTCTCTCCTCGAATACCCTTCCTGATTTCTCTGCACCCTTGGCCAACCCTTGTGTGGACAGCTTGTTTGGTGGGGTGACCCAGGCTTTTACCCTAGGGTCCTAAAATCCATGGTTTCTATGTCCATTCAAACATTAGTTCCTGCAATTGCCCATTCACAGTTATCACCCAACATGGAAGTGCTTGAATAAATCCGAGCTCTATGCATAGTTCTCCCTTCACACATTACATTACTTAGCAGCAACCCTCATGATAATCTTGTCATCTGAAGCCCTGTGCATAGAATAATTTCTTTCTTTCTTTTTTTCCTTCTTGCATGTTGGTCTACTGGCATGAGAAGCCCAAAATATCTAGATAGTAGCTACAGTTTTAGGTCTAGTGAACTTCCTACTGTGACTCTACCAAGAGCATCATCTCATCCCACACCACACACATGTTCTTGAAAAGTAGAACATTTATTTCAGCAGAGAAAGTTGCAGGGATAGGAAATACACATTTCCCAGTTGATCACTTTAAGTTATGGTGAGATAGGACATTCCTACTTCCTCCCCTTTATTCCCACACTCTTGCATTCTGCCTTTTGAGGACAGAGCCAGTGTAGGGACAAGGCAGACATTCAGCCTGACTTGTATATTTGCTAATTTTCATTATATAGATACTCCAACATGGACAATTTCAAGTTACTGATGTCAGGTCAACTGGTTTTAAAAATTCTTGAATATTTAATCTTTATTTCTTATGAGCAGATGAAAACTGGTACCTGCACATCAATGGACATAGCACCATAGTTCAAAGTAGATGTTGCATCTTTTTTTTTTTTTATCCTCACCTGAGGACATTTTTTCTATTTTTTGTTCAGACAGAGTGGGAGGGAGGGAGGGGGAGAGAGAGAGAGAGAGAGAGAGAAAAAGAGAGAGAGAGAGAGAGAGAGATCAACATGAAAGGGACACATCGAGTGGCTGCCATCCACACAACCCAACCAGGGCCAGGGACAAATTGCAACCAAGGTACATGCCCTTAGCGGGAACTGAACCCGGGTCTCTCTGGACTGCAGGCTGATGCTCTAACCACTGAGCAAAACTGGCCAGGGCAATATTGCATCTTGAAGCACAACATTCCAATTCAAAGATGATCTTGTCCAAGCTGGAACCGAATTGCACTTTTAAGAGATTGTCCTAATGTTATATCAGACTGGCAACTTCTAGTGATGTAGCACATGGTAGACTCAGTGGATCCTGTGGTCATGTGTTCATTATTGGAGCTCATTTAGCATAAACTAGGTTGCTGGTTTGAGGAGATGTTATGCAGGATTCATGGCAATATGCCATGATGATAAATCAGGCATTGTGATGAACCCAGAGGAATGAGGCATTGTGAACAGGAATAGGAGCTCAAAGTTTACTCCACCCCCCTCCAGAGGGGTAAAATCGAGTATGATCTATTTATATCAAATTGCTGGTTGTCTTTTCGAAAAGTGATACGATATTGAAGACTCATCTTGGACAATTTCCACTGGGTTGGCCACTTACCAGTGGCAATAACTATGTGACACTTGGTAAGAAAGAGCCCATACTTTTAAGCCCATGCATATCCTCTTTCTATCAGCCACCAGGCTGCTTATTCATGATCTCATCTTGCAAGTACTATATACCTGTAGTACTACATACTTGGTATGTTGCCATATACAAAAGCTGGATAATCTCCAGTGAACAAATCATCTTACCCACCCAATTGTTCAGTACCTCCTCTCTAATGAATGCTCCCTAGTGGTATTGATGCAAGACAAAGAGATTTGCATATTTCATGCCCACTCCTATAGGTACATCCTCAAGCTTTCTCTCCAGAACTATTTGTTTGGGGAAGGTCTTACAATCTTGCTCCTTCAGGGACATTGGCCAACTGGCCAAGCCATTTACTGCTGTGCAGGAGTACATGTGTTTTCTTATCTCAGGATATTCTTCACACCAAGTTGATGGCCAGGTATAATTTGCCTCAGGCTCTCTCACCATCCATTCCCTTGGCATGTTCTATCAGTATCTACTGGTTCATATTAGACAGATCTTGCATTTCTTTTAAAGCAGAGCCTACTTTATCGGTTGGGTCTTGTTAAGACATGACATATTTGCTACCTAGAGCCAGGAGGAGAGATGGGGTCAGATCCTGAGGAGAGCAAGGTCATATTCTATGATCTTTAGGAATGGAGAAACTTCCTCTAAGGGGAAGTTGTTATATCTGTCTCTCCAGAGGGGGCTGAAAGTTTAGTGTTCTCAATGACATCCACTCAGATGTCCTTATTCTTATTTTAAGATCCTATTCTTTGCCAATCAGTGCCCTGACTTTAGTGTAGAGACCTGCCACAACTGTGAATGGAGCCTCCTTAATAATTACACGACTCTCAAAGGCAAATTCTTTTCTATTTCTAGTACATACTGACTGTCGCGCAATAGGAGATGAGAATCTCTCTTTATTAGCTCTCCTAGAAGTCTTCTGGCTTTTATACTTTGCCCTTAGTTTGCTGACCTTAGATTGTCATTTTCTTTAATGAATTTAACAACAGCCAAGCAATTCCTAGCCCATATAATCACTATATTTCTCAAATGCTAGGTGCCTTCTCTTCCATCTAAATTTGTGTTCCTGTCAGCACAGATGAATATCTTAGCAATTGTGATGCTACAGCCTCAGAAGGGTTTTCTTTTTTTTGCAATTTTTTAAAATTAATTAATTAATTTTTGTTACAGATGTTTCTCCCCCCCCCCCACTGATTCCCCCTCCCCCTCCCTTTTCACTCTGTCCCCCAGCTCTGTTCATGACCTTTGTTCATACATACATGCATATAAGTTCTGTGGTTTCTCTCTCCCCCCCACACCCTCGTCAGGGGATTGTCAGTATGTACCCCACTTCCACGTTTATGGGACTGCCCCATTCCTCAGACTGTTATGTTCATTATATTCCACATATAAGTGAGATCATATGATACTTGTCTTTCTCTGTTTGGCTTGTTTCA